TCCTTCAACCGCTGTGTTGAGGCCAAATAATTCAGTTTTAGTCTCATCTGCCTCAGAATCTTCAAGGTGCTTTTTGGCAAAGCTCAGTCGTGACTGCATGTGGCCTTTCTTGAGGAGTGGCTTTTTCTTGCAATCCTCCCATACAAGCCACATTAATGGAGAATTTGTGATATTGTTGTCAAATGCACACAATGACCACTCTTTGTCATAAATTCCTGCAGCTGCTTCAGAGTTGCTGTAGGCCTCTTGGTTGCTTCTCTGACCAGATTCCTCCTGGCTCTTTCATCTATAGTTTGGAGCGACGTCCTGATCCAGGGAGGGTCTGTGTTGTACAAAATACCTTCCACTTCTTAATAATAATCTTCACTGTGCTTCTAGCCATTGATAAAGCCTTTGACATTTTTCTTGTATCCATCTCCTGACTTGTGCCTGTCCACAACTTTATCCTGGAGATCTTTTGACAGTGTCTTGCCACCCATAGTTGATTGTTTGCTTCAGTTGAACTACCAAGGACTGAAATGCTCTAGGAAAACTCTTTTCATGCTGAACTGATCAAAATGACCACAACTAATCACAGCTGAAAGTCAAATGGCTTTGTGTGCCGTTGAGAAGGTGATTAGCTGCACCTGATTGAGTTTACAATTTTTAGGAGGGGGGTGATCCTTTTTCCAACTCAGTGATTCTGTTTTTTTTATTTATTTTATTTTTCTGACATGTTGGTGTTTTATCTTTCACTTGGATGTTATAAGTTGCACTGAGTAAATACAGCTGGATAAACAAAAACTGTGTCCGTCTTCATTTCAGGCTGCAAAACAATACAATGTGATTATTTTAAAGGGGGGTGATTCTTTTCTATACCCACTGCTCTGATGAAAAAGCAGCATATGCTGGTTAGACATGTTTTGAAGCATGGCAGCTGGTTTGAGCTGGTTTAAGCTGGTCCTTTGTTGTTCATGAGTTGGTTTAAGCTGGTCCTGAGCTGGTTATAAGATGGTTATGAGCAGGAGCTAGTTGCTTAGGACCAGCTTAGGACCAGCACATGACCAGCTTAAACCAGCTCAGGACCAGCTTAAACCAGCTCAAACCAGCTGCCATGCTTCAAGACATACCTAACCAGTATATGCTACTTTTTCAACAGGGTGTACACCTAGGATGGCTTGAGGGTGAGTAAATCATGGGGTAATTTTAATTTTTGAGTGAACATCCCTTTAATTTTTTAGAAAACAAGACCATCGTAAGTCATTTTGTTTATCAAGTAAATGTATCTCGAGTTAAGAATGTTTAGATGTTTGTACTGGAAAACAAGACAAGAATACTGAGGAAGAACATCACGTTTTGCAGTGCAGACAGCAATGAGATTAATTGCAAAGCAAACTTTTTTTGAAGTCTCTCAATAATGTCTCAAACTGTGCTCAGCTTTGTAATCACAAGGTATTTCAACATTTTATTACTCTATACTATTACTGGATGATGAATAGTGACTCAAGGGGGTCATGAACTGAGAAATCAAAATTCCCTTGATCTTTTGACATATAGAATGTCATTGTACTATAAAAACATCCTGTAATTTTCAGAACTCAAAACTTTCTTACTAGTCTAAAAACAGCTTGGGCCCTATCATACACACGGCGCAATGCGGCGCAAGTGTTTTTGCTAGTTTCAGCCCAACGCAGTTCTCATTTTCCCGTCCTGCG